ACACCTTCTGAAATTATGCAGAGTCCAATGGAAATGCCTTCGTCTTTTGGAAATTGGAAATTTTATGCCTCTACAAGAAAAATTTCGTTTACTTGCCAATTTTTCGTCTAATAAAATTCTATCTTTTGAAGATTATCCGCCCTCAACTTTTATTTACTACTTTATATTACTCAATTCCTTTCCTTCCTTCTTTGAAATTTTTTCTGACAAAACTAATAACTTCAATACTCTAGAAAATTTACATAGCTTATTCAAAAATTCCTTTTGGGTCTTAATATTTCCGATCAATCAATTAAGTTCCTACCAGCGAGAAAACCACAGTTACTCCGGCAGAGATATACCACCGTTACTTGAACTTGGTCAATACTAAATGGAAGCATTTTTCACTCATCTTTGCTGATGTAGGCAGCGGCGTTTGGTTTTCAGATATTAACATAGAAGCCCACTTCTCAAATCACCCATGTAGCACTATATTTTCGGCTGAATGTCCTGCGATCCTAGAAGACATACGCATAGCGAGTGCTCAACCTCAAAAGAAATTTCTTATAGTGTCAGACAGTAAATCTGTTTGATCCGCTTTACAATCATTTTCCTCAGGTAAAACTTATCCCTACATATTGGAAATCAGATCTTTACTTTATAGTCTCAGGGCTGATACATTTTCTTTTCACTTGCTCTGGGTGCCCAGTCACATGGGAATTCTTGGCAACAACACTGCAGATAAAATTGGATCTTCCAGACCATCTTATTTTAATGGTCGTGCTGTGATTCCTGAAGATCTCAGGACAATCGACAAGAAGCATTCAATTATTTTTTGGCAACAGCGTTAGGATAACTCACCTTATGGTCGTCGTTTATACTCTTTATTTCCACAAATAAATAAAACCCCTTTGTTTATCATTTGCGGTCTCAGACGTGACATTACTTGTCTCATTAACAGGCTGACGTACAATCGCGCGAAATGTAATGTTCATCTATTAACAATTAACATAGTAAATATCCGCCTAAGTAGCCGAACAGGCAAGAGTCTCGACCAGCAACTCAGTGGTCGCAGATTCAAATCTCAAGTGCGGTAGAATTTTTAATAAGCCCGAAAGCCTTTAGATACTAGTATTTTAAGTCTTTAGTCTTAGAATTTATTCTCTGGCTAAATTAATAATAATAATAACAACAACATAGTATGGACTTGTGGAGTCTTCCAATCACCTGATCATACCCTATTTGTCTGTCCGAATAACACCACTTCTACTCACCATTCCATACTTCGCAAATTAAGTATATGTGGTCTTCGTGACCACAGCATTCTTGATATTTTGCGTTCTTGCAATTTAACAGCTTACGTCGGAAATTTGCTTCTTTTAAATCATGCCATGAAGACATATAAGCGTTTACGGTCAATTTATGAACGTACTTTCTTTAAATTTTTTTGCTCTCACACCCATCAATTTCTTCATATAACTTTTTATACCCATATATCGCATTACACTTCACACATCGAAATTTACTCCTCGTTCTTTTGTTCTTGGCTTTCATATATTTGAATTCTTATTCTGTTGATATAATATAGTTTTCATTTCTGATTATGATCTCTCTGTCGATGCGATGGACTTTCGCGCCCAACAGAGCTAGCGTCAGAAAGATCGTCCATTGAGTATGAAAGTGATTGAGAGTCCAAGTCTACCACATTTATATCGAAATTTTTAGGTAAATTTTGATAGACGGGAGGTGGTTTAGCAAAACCAGGTCGCCTTCCAGCTTTACCTAACTCGACTGCAAATGGTACATGAACCGACTGCTTCTGCTGTTGCGGCGGAAATGGTGCAGTTTTTTTCAATGCTGGCTGTTGGCTTCCTACGATCTTGTTAGCCTGTCCAGCAAAACCTGAAACTGTTAATGTTAATTCTGCTTGACCTTCTTCATTCGTTTTGTTGCTGACAGGTTTTGAAAATGGGGTACTGTCAGTTTGATGTGCATATAAGCTATGCGAGTTTACGGAAGCCGCGCTTTCTTGGCGCTTCTTAGTCATTTGGCTATTTTTTTTCCACGGCAAAGTCTGTTTTCGAACTTCTGCAACACGTGGTCGTTTGTTGTCAGCGTCAATGCTTGTGTCTTGTAAATCTCCGCTTATTTTACTCAGTAATTCCATAAGAGTTGTGGCTTTCTCATCTTCAAACTGTATGGGTATAGGAGACTCGCGATCACTCGTTGGATGGGAGCTAATTTGTATAAGTCTAAGAGGAAGGTGAACATATTAATGACATGTTTTTTTTTAGAAACTAAATTTTAGCGTACTTTCTAGCTTCCTCCATTGCTTTGCCGAGATTTTGCAGATTTTTATAACTTTCTTCATTACATCGGCCAATCTGAGAATCTTTTAGCGTACCCTGCAATACCAAGTTCCATTTATGCGTAGCAGATTGTGCTGCCACTGTATGAGCTACTCGCCTAAAGCGTTCCTTTGCCGTTTCTTTTTCAACACGGGAAGAAGCCTTTTCAATTTTTATCTCTTGCATATCTGCAATTGCGTTTACGTTTCCATTGCCTTGTTCTTCGTAATGACTTTGTATGGGCATTACTTGAAAACCTTTCATAAGGCGGCGCTCCCACACTTTTGTCCTCTTGGCGCGACAAGCTAAGTGAAAAAAAATCTTCAGCTTACCCTTCGACGTGCGTAGGGCTAAGAAAAGAAACTTACGTTTTTCTTTCTTAACAGCAGAAGATATATCCATTCCGCTGTTTTCGAAAATTTCCAACATCTCATAACGCATGGTTGATATTTCACTTTTCACCTCGTTTATGTCATCTTCTGTAACAGGATTGTCTTCGAACTTACGATGCTGGGCAGCCACATATCGCCAGACCAACGAACGTAAAATATTTTCGTAAATATTTTCTTGATCATTTTGTTGACGTTTCTGCGATGGTTAGATAAGGGAAAAGGGGAACGAATAAGGGAAGGCAAGACAATAAATTCCTTATATAATATTATAAATTAAAATCATTATTTTGCTTCAAAACCTTTGAACGTTTGCGATCAATTTCTTTACTCGATTTCCTGAAGAACCGAATTAACCATTTAACTGAAGGCATTATGTTGAAAGGTGGTGGCAACGTTGAACTGTCTTCGAAGTAACTCATCCACAATTTTGTCCGAGCAAATTTCCATTCAGTATCAGAATGTTCCTGAAATAATAAATATAATCCTAATTGCGAACACATAAATGTAAGACTTACATCAATCATAGCGTACGAATTTGACATCATGGCTATTAGAAGGTTTAGCAATACGATAACGTTGATAACACTATACGACCCGAACATTAACAAGCCCCAGAAGCGAGTATACGATTTAATGCCCGTTAACTCGAAATCGTCTAAGCCTACCATACCAAAGCTAGCCCAAAACAGAGACTGAGATGACTCAAATAAACTGTAATTAGAAAATTTCAAATATTAAGCTAAAGTATACTTATAATTTACACACGCCTTCAGAGAGGTACTAAATTTTTCGATCGTTTTAATATAAAGAGACACAAGAAAAAAGTTGATGCATCCTTATAATATATGCGTGTTCACACACTGCAATTACTAAGCTATACTTATATGGGGTGAAATCCATTACCACTACATCGGCGCAGACAGCCAAAGCAGTATTTGTGAAATTAGAGAATTCTGAACAGACGCTCTTTGATAACATGATCCGATTCTGACATAGAAAATGAATGATAAATATTATTAAAATACCACAACAAAAAGTACGAGAATGTTAACTAACTCACAATTAAAGTTTAATAAGATGAAATTAAATACGTACGCGGAGTGGAGGCTTACTGTTATTGTCGTTTAATGAAAGCGGTGTACCAAGTCTACCATTGGAAAGGGCAACCACAAAGATTATATACTAAACAAATCTGCGCTTTTCTACAAATTCTTCATCAGCATGAAATTCTAAATTGATTTATCATCTGTGTAAGTTCATGCACGTAGGTTAGTATTGAAAATGAGATAAATCGTTCGGACGACACCTATAGGACCACGTAACTAAGAGCGCCCCTGTTTTTCAAAAAGAATTAAAATTGGCTTTTTGCGCATTACTGTAAAGGCATATTTTACGGAAGATACTGTGAGATCTGAACAGGGAACAGGCCACTTCTACCTAATATTGACTAAAATATACACTAGTATCAAAATCTTTTTCAAAGCTTTTATGAGGCGTACAAATAAGCTTCAAAAACCCCGAAAAGTATATAAATTCTTGGCTTTAATATGTCCATCTCTTCGTCTCTCCATCTGTCTATCTGCGCAACTGTGTAGTATTAGTGGTGAACATTCTCCCGTTAGTGAAACGTAGATATCGCCTACAAATTTGCAAAAGAATTTGGAAGCGGCTTAAACTTTCCCATGGACACGCCGACAGCATACGCCTGTGCAACAAAAACTTTTATTTTGAAAATAACCACGCCCACTTCATACTGCAGAGCATGCCAGAAGCTACCTCTTTTGCTTTTTCTGTTAAGTTTTTAAGGATAACGGTAATGGGTATAAAAGATTCGGTCACGACCGAGCATATATTTCCTATGCATTAAAACTTCATATCTCTTTATGTAACAACCTTCGCATGATCTTTTTTTTAAATTTTAATTTTATCTACCGCAACTAGAATCTTTGATAATTTATTTCTCCAACTGTGATAATCTTCACTGGTGGGGCGCTATCTGAGTGCAATTCTGTTCAACGGAAATACATTATTTCCTGAAACAAGGCCCACAAGTGGTGCTATAAGCTAATTGTGCTATGTCCTCTTATAAGATACGCATACTGTTTCTGTACTGTCCTATACTCCGAAAAAGAAGACGAAAGAAGCGGATTAGCTGGTGAGCCAGATTTGGGAGCCACCAATAATCATCATTTCGAGCCATAAAGTGTTTTGTGATCTTTTTTACACGTCACAGTACGCCCCCGGCATACTACTTCTCGATGAATTTTGTCCGAGCTGTATGAATTGTTCAATAAATTGCCTAATTTCAGACGGATAAGAAGGTTTAAATGGAGACTACGATTTCGAGGGGAACTTATGAGGAGAAGATTTCTCATCATCCTTACATTGCTATGGGGTAAGAGTCAAAAGCCGCAACTGGTACCTTTGTCTATTCTAGGTTCTTATGAAATAAAATCGCCGTTGCAAAAACAATTTCAAACAACCTACTACCAAATTTTGAGCAGTTCGTTAATGATTTGATGATGCTCTTTGCAATGTGAGATCTCATATAATCGGGAATGAAAAAGGTCGCCCTAGTAACGACTCATTAAAGCAATGTTTATGCGCGAAAAATCTAGACGATTGTCTCGTTCTTTGAGTTCTGTGGATGTAAGAAAAAAAGTCTGTCGTCACTTTCAAACATATTTACTTTCAAACATATTAATGTAAAAAATTGCATTATTTAAAGCCATTACACAGTGGTCATGTACCAAATGCATGTGTTATGTTTGAAATACTATATTATTATACGCAATAGAGCTGTAGAACTCATGGAGTCATTCTTCATGATGATGTAAAAATACATCGTATTTTTTTAAATTTTCCAACTAAAATTTTTAATTGCCTTTTTTGTATTTTTCCATTAACTATTCTCATTGCCCGGTTGATTTCAAATTTTATTTATTATAAATAAAAATTCAGGTTTTTAGGGGTTAAAGCAATACAATTGCTAATAACAAAGAGAAAAGTGCAATATTTTGCAAAATTTGGAGCACTAATAATTAACAAGTATAAGCATTATAGTTTCGCAACTCCGACAGTTAAGTTCTTTATACCACTTCACCTGTTTTATTTGTTCTTTCGATTTTGTAATAACTATCCGAAAAATGATATCTTCCTCTTATTTAAAGACATACTTTCCATGAAAGACCTTATATTCAAGGCCGTCCAGAACATGATCTGAAATTTAGCAAACTGGATGTTCGTGTTACATATTCTACTTCTCTTTACCTATTTTTACCACCTTTTTGTGCAAACTACATTTTGTTACCATATAAAAGGTTTGACATCTTTTAGACCCAATTAAGAATAGCTTTTGTCATAAAATGTTTAAAAAAACACCTTTTTGCCATATAAAGACTATTTTTTTACGTGTCGTGGGCACAAAAGTTTGCAGACAGACACCAAAAGACAGATAAACGTACATACACACAAACGCATATCCTCCAACACAAATGCACGTTTTAATTAAAATTCGAAGTCAGCGTTAAAAAATCGTCATCATTAAATTAAAGTACATATATATATATTAGCTTGGGGAAAAAGAAATCCATTATTTTTATATGAACTTCAGCACTTTATTTAACATGCTTCGAATTGTCCGATTTGGGTCAAATATGCACTTTTTTGTTGTATGATTTGTTGCCATTTTAAAGGTAACTTCAAAAAGCCTCTCTCATAGAAGTCCTGGTCTCTATTTGCAAAAAACTCTAGTAGTCGATTTTCACAATCCTCCCTAGATTCCAATTTTTTATCATTAAAGAAATTTTGCAATGCAAGGAAAAGATGATAATCGCTTGGTGCCAAGTCCGGACTGTATGGCGGATGCATTAAAACTTCCCATCCAAGCTCCCGAAGTTTCTGGCGAGTCACCGTAGATGTGTGTGGCCTAGCGTTGTCCTGGTGGAACACGACACCTCTCCTGTTGGCCAATTCTGGCCGTTTCTGGTCAATCGCTATCTTAAAACGGTCCAGTTGTTGACAGTAGAGATCAGAATTTAGCGTTTGGCC